GACTTTAGCCAACTTTTAACCCTGCACATTTTAATTATTAATTAAGTTAACTGCAATATTAAGGATACTTACACTTTGTTATACTGATGACTGGGGCACAAACGTAGATATTTAACGCAAACATTTTGATATTTTCACATTATTTATAGTATTTCACTACTCTAGAAACTACAGTCAGACTACCTCTCGCAAGACGTAACTCGATTAACTCGATTCACTAGGACAAAGACTCTGCGGGACAACTGTAGTCTCACATCCTGGAACTACAAACCCTAAATGCAAAGCAGCCATCATTAACGTGATGTGAAACTAAACATGTAAACAATGGTTAGAACTAAGAACAATATAAATATAATGTGATACTTTGCTACTCTGGCCTAAGCCTTTTTTTTCTCAAATGCAAGAGGTTAAGAGTTCACGTTTTTTATGTTTTCTGTTGCAACATGATTTTAGGTTTGAGTAAGATTTATTTGAATGGTTCCGGAGCAATATAATATTGTCCGGCTCCGCAAACACTGTTTTGTTTTGTGTTGCAATGCCGATAATGGTGTGCGTTGTTGTGCAGGTATGTGGGGCAGTGTCACGTCGTGCAGCTCAGCTGTGTGGGGCGGGAATGGCGGCCGTGGTCGATAAGATCAGAGAAAACCGAGGACTGGACCATCTGAACATCAGTGTAGGGGTGGACGGGACACTCTACAAACTGCATCCACAGTGAGTTATTTTATTTGTTATAGTCGGTTATAGTTACAGTTTTCTGCGGGAACAAAAAAAATGGTTTGCTCTTTTATTTGGCTTCATAAAATATATATATTTGTTTCTTTTTTCTTCTGTTACTAGTTTCTCTGGCATCCTCCAAGGGACTGTCAGAGTTTTGGCTCCTCAGTGTACTGTGACCTTCCTGCCATCAGAAGAAGGCAGCGGGAAGGGTGCTGCACTTATTACAGCTGTGGCCCGACAGAAGCTGGAGACTTCACATGACTGAAAAGAAAAAGGTTCTCCCCCCAGTGCTGCTGTTCTCGTCTAGTGGTCCGGAAGAGACGCAGACTGGCATCGTTTGTAGCCTCACGTAGGAGTGGATTTCCCAACAGCTTCCTTTTCTCTTGAGAACAAGGTTCCTCATCCCAAAGAGCATAAAACGTGCAGGTTTTTGCTGCATGATCCCCTGTGATGCGTCTTACTCATGAACACGTGTGTGCTGCCCTGGGACGAAATGGAAGCTAATATGGTCATTCATACTTAAAGAAGGGGATTAAATTAAACAGATTTTTGCTAGTTAGAAAAACCTTTCTGGCTGAAAAACTCTGAACAACTGAACAGTCTCTTCACCTCTGACGCACACACACACACACACACACACACACACACACACTCTCTGTTTGTCTCGCTACAAACAATTAAAACTGCAGTAATTTGCTTATTCGTTCTTTATTTCTTTGGACCCCCATGATTCTTTCATTTGATGCTTTTTGTTCAATTTTGATCCATTTAGAAACCGTGGTGTGTGTTGTGCAACAGAGAGACAAAGAGTGTGTGTGTGTGTCCCTGTTAGTCAGCACTACTTTAGTATTGATGAAGGGCAGAAGGAGGTTTGGAATGCAGCTGACCACATTTTCCCAAAATATCAAAACAACCGGCGCTCTGTTGGGTCATTCTGGACCGACCCTCCGTCCTTGTGATTGCCTGTCTGTCTCTCTGCCTGTATGTGCATCTGTGCCATTTTGCCGTCTGTCTGCTTTATCCTCTAACTGGAGTCTCGGCCGATTGCCTGCTTCTGTGTTTGTTCTGTTAATACTGTTTATGATTAAATATCAGTACAGACAGAAACATGGAGGATTCTACCAAAAGACACCAAACATTCAGAAAAGTGATGAAATAATTCAACTGTAGATTTAGTTGTAATTTAGTGTCTTTGATCAACTTTCAGTCTCAGGAACTGAATTGTGAGGTCAGGCCTTTTGTTGTGAATCTAATGGTAAAAATACTAAACCACTCATTTTGTATTGTGTTGCATTGTAAAGTCCAACTCGTGATTTGACGATATTGTATACTGGACATAATCCAGAACCACGCTCAGTGCCATCAGTGTATTCATGATAATCCATTCAGGACGGTTTGGATGTGTTGAAGATGAAAGCACAGAGAATGCAGCAGAGTGCAAAGAATACAGAAGATAACGCAACGCAAAAACAAATGCAAGAAAGGATTCTAAGCGATTATGCAAATGGTGGGAAGGAAATGTTTTGAGAAAGTGTGCGTGCTAACGGGAGTGAAACAGTAGCTAATCCATCAGGGATTAAGATGTTACAATGCTACCAATTGAGCACACACACACACACTGATCATGGTAATCCCTTACTGTCCTAGTGGTGACCTAGTAGCTTCGCAGTTAAACCACACGTGCAGCTTCAATGCAGCAAACACAGCTGGTCTGCTGAACGAAGCTGGCAGAGGGAAGGGACCGATAGAAGCTTCGATCTCTTTTCACCCTTTTCATTCTGTTCTCCCTCTCTTTTCTTGTCTGCACACAAATACTGTACCTCCTTTTTAGTTTTAGCTTTAGTTTGAGTTTAAATAACCTCATATTCACCTGCCTTGTTTCGAAGTCTTCTTGAATGAGCTGTTCTCTTTGAACAAAGTGTGTGAGGTCTATCATACATTACATTTCTTTCTTTGTGTGTGTGTGTCTGCATGTGTGTGAGTTCAAGGCTCTGCGAGTAGGTGTCTCTTTGTCTCCGCTGTATGCCAACAATAGGAGCTTTGACACGCAAACACAGCAATGGTCACCAGTCGAGATGCTGGTTCGACCTACGGGCTCGAGTCCTTATACAAGGATCGTATTCTGTTTTTTTTAATTACAACTGAAAAAAACAACTTTGAAACTTTTGAGGGAGCTCCGGCGTCGGGCCGCTAGACGCAGCGGACCGCAGGGAAGTGAGACAACGCACCAAAACATCCGCATCGCTTGCTGATGCTGCCTCCACTTGATCGTGGGACGACTTTATCAACGAAGATAATTTAGTAATCCAGATAATAAAACTGGGGTGGATAACACTGCTGGAATTAGATGCAATGAGTCTGTAGAAAAAGGCAAAAAAACAACTGCAGATGGATGATGAAGTGAAGAAGGAGGAGACAAAACCCAACCGTGTAGGTAAACTTCAAATGCATTTTCTAACTGTTGTGTGTTGTCACGTGTCATATTAAAGCAGACCAGCGTGCTTGATGTGAGCTATTTCTCTGCTCCGCATTGTGCTAACGTCTCACGCTTCAGCTGAGTGAGATGGCCGACGACAGCTTGCAGATATTATTTGTAGTGTAAATTCCGCTGGCTTGTTGCATCTTGTGCTGACACCAGGATAATTACTACATACATGTGTCACAGCAAAAGCGTGTAGAAAAGCACTTAGGACTGATATGATTAATACTTAATACTGAGACACTTAATACTGAGACAAATCTACAGACTTCACTACACCATACATGTTACAGACTTATGGGCAGATTTCATGAATTCCAGTGACCAAAATACTTTCTTTGAATTGTTGAAACTAAAAATGACGTTGGTTTTTAGTGCACTTTCAACCCTAACCCCATCATTTAGTTTGCTCATAATTATCAACACAAAGCCAAGGCTTACCTGAAGGAAGACCCGCTGGTATCAGGACAACCAGCCACCACCTTCTTAGCAAGAACATTAGCGAGACTGAGGAGCTAATAGTACACTTATAGTACACACAAGAAGCAGGGAAGGAATAGTGACCACCTTAATATTAATAAGTGATCGGTGGACGGCGTCGATGACTCAGAGGTGAGAGAGGCGAGGCAGAGACAGTTTCACCTCAGATGCTTGAGCAGGTTTCAGGTGTCCCACAAATGCTGAGGGGGGATAATCACTGCCGAGTACGGACACGGCCCCTTTACAGTGTTACAAAGAGTGGTTCATTGGAGGCAACACACAATAGGTGTGTCTACCTCTCCATGAAGACTTAACTGCATGTGTCTTGAAATAAGTTTATCTCCCTTTGCCGCTTTGCTGCAATTTAGATACGTTTTTTTACAAGGGAATTGAATCCACATCTGACATATAAAACGTTATAAAGGATTAAAGCTCATCTCTGTCAGTGTTTGTTCTCTGGGGAGGTCAGACAACAGGCAGCTGTTGTTGTAATAATGACGTTGCGTCTGGACAGTGGACAGTCTGATGGGTTGACTCTCCGGCTGGTGGAGTGAGTGAGTGAGTGAGTGAGTGAGTGAGCTTTCATTCTACCCGAATCATAGAAAAGCTGGTGCACTTTGTGCATGAGCCAAACATGTCTTATTCAGCTTGTTTTACTCAAAACCCAAGACACTTTAAACTTTCGTTCCCACATCGGCCTCAGTATGTTCACACTTAAGAACCCCTGTCTGCAAACCAACAGCAGACGATTAGGAGTTCATTCATACGTTTATTTCAACCTCCAAAGTTGCCCAGACGTCCTTGACCTCCTCTTCTAAGCAGAATGACTTTTTAGTGAAAAAGCCATAACGAACTCGACTAACTACTGTTATGCCTCTGTGAGTCATTTTCTTACGAACACACGCAGGATAGTAGGAAACTTTATAACTTCCCTGAACACTAAACCCCAAATGCTCTCCTTACCTTCCGGCCCTCTTTCTCTCTCTGCCCCCTCCCCCTCCCCCTCCCCCTCCCCTTCACCCTCCCCCCCTCCCAAACTACAAACTAGGCACTCCCTCTCTTTTTCTTTCTTCCTCCTCTGTCATTGAGTTGGCCTCCATTGAATCAGCAGGCCCAGCCAA